CACAGACCCATACTTGATAGAGATGAACTATATGGGAGTAGAGAGAGTTTTGAGTTAGCTGACCACACTTGTGACCCAGGCAAAGGTTGGGGAATTAATCGAGGTCACACAGCCAGGCAAAACAGAACGTTTAGAGTTACTCCAGGTGGGTCAATTCTGTGCTAGGGATTGAACCCAGGGTCTTTTGCATGCTAGGCAAGGGCCCTGCCACTAAGCTACATCTCCAGCCCTAGGCAAGAATATTAGGAAGGCCAGGGATTTCGTTCAGTGGTTCCACTACCTGCCTTGCAAGCACAGGGTCCCGAGTTTGATCCCCAACAGCAAAAAACAAGCAAACAACAACAACAAAACAAAGTATTAGGAAGAGATTCCTAAAAGCCCCTGGATAAGCCTAAGCTTGAACTGGAAGTAAGGTCTGTAAACCATCTGTCCCTGCACTGGAACCACAAGAATTGTCTTATAAGGGTATCTGATACAGACATATCAGCTGAGAGCCATTTCTGAAAATCTGGCAATAGCCAACAACTTTTTCTAGGGATCTAGGCCATAGAGAGAATGTATGTGTATGTTTGGCGGGGGTGGGGGGGTGAGGAACTGAGTCTTTTGTGTCTGTATGTGTTTGTGGTTTGAGACAGGGTTTGGCTATGTATGTAGTTCAGGCTGGTCTCAAGCTCAGCGCAGTCCTGCCTCTGCCTCCTGAGTGCTAGGATTGTAGGTGTGTGCCACCACACCAACTATACACACACTGCTGGGAATGAGGGCGAGGGACATTGCTAAGGTCTGGGGCCAGCCCTGTTTCCACCTTTGGATTTGGAATGAGGAGTCTGGGAACCAATACTTCAGTTCCTCTTGGGGGAAAATGAAGGAATGGGAGAGATTGGCTAGGGATCCTCCTTAAGGAGTTTGGGAGGCGGCGGTGGGAGCTCAGGTGGATGAATACTGTTCTACAACATTGTGGGAATGAAAGGAAGGGAAGCCAGTAGCTGTGCACTAGTTGAAGTGAACCTGGTGAGAAATCAGGGGAGGTTTTCCCACCACAGTGTCAAGAGCTTTCTGCTGCATGGGCAGCCCCTGTTCTCTGGGGCTAGGGCATTATGAGTGGGTGTGCCAGTGCCTGTCACTGCTGTGTGGGTGAGAGCACCACTAGGAATTGTGTATGTGTGTAGGGGCAGAATTAATTTTGCTCCTGGAGTACATCAGGTTCCCGGAGAGGAAAGTACCGAAATGGAAGAGTGATGCTAAGTAACTGAAAGTCATTGTACCCATCTGCCTAAAGTAGTACAGAGCCACCTATAATGACTCAAGACCTGAGTGTCGACTTACCACGCACCTGGCCTCTGCTAACCGATGACTGGCAGTGGCCCTGTGAATTAATGCTAGCTCGCCAGTGTTGACTGTGGGGCAGGGACAAGTTTCATTCACGTTGGGGGTGTTCAAACTGCTTTCACCCTCTTAGTTACTAGCGTGCAACTTCTGGCCCTCGGTGGGCTCTGGATCTTGTTGCATATGGTGAGACCCAATTTGACGATGTTTTCTGAGGTGGAGATGATGCAAAATGCAGCTGTGACTTTCTGGCCTTATTGTGTGGCCTTTTTGTGCCATCAGAGTATGTAACTCAGTTGTGTAGTTGAGAGCAGCTATTGGAACGTATGACTGGAGCTATGGAGGGTGCCTAGGGTAGGGTGGTGGGAGGCCTTGGGAACCAGGCGGTGGTGTGATCTTGTGACAGTGTGTTCTTGTTACACACACACACACACACACACACACACACACACAATCTATATCTGACCCTGCTGTAAGACCTGTTACATGTTGCATGTCCATCCAGACCAAAGGTTGGTCCTGTTGTGTCGTGACTTGTGTCAGAGATGGTTGTGTGGGGTAACTCAGTGTGCTGTGCCTTCTCCTTTGTGGTGTTGTTGGCCCATAATGACGTCTCTCTGTCCGGATCGTGGGTCGGTGCGACACTGCTGTACCCTTTTGCAAACGTGTTTTTTGACCTCGGCCACTGGTGCCCCTCCCCCGCGCCGTCCGCCAGCGCCGCGCAGCGATCGATCGCCATTGATTGTCCCTGACGAGCTGCTCCACTTTCCAGCCAATGTCAGGAGGGGGGATCTCCGCCGCCCTGGCGGTGTCATTTCCACACACTCCCTGGGCTGCCGCCAGCTCAGGCGCTACCAAGAGCCGGCGTGGATCGCCCGGAGCGCGGACCGGACCAACTGCCGCTTGCAAGGAAGCCCCAGACG